TCTCATTCAATTTTATGTAAGACTTTGGAATATTTATACATCAGACCTATTGTATTCAATAGAGCTATTTTTTTTTATTTTTGTATGATTTATTATTAGTACTTTAACTAGTGAGTTATGTTTGTACTATCTTCGAGCAACCGTACCCTCATAATTTCCTCTGAGATTTATAAAGTAGTCTGTTTTTGTCAATTTGTAACTATAAAAATCACTAAATCACTTCATCCCGAAGACCTTGGTGGGTGTAAGTTAAATTTGAATAGACTGTTAACATGAGCCCACTCTACACTCCTACAAACTTTTATCAGAATTCATACAAACTTTGAAGTATTGTATTTACAGATGGAAAAAAACTAACACCATTCATCGAACACTGTTGTTAAATCCCCTGAATTTAAGCTGAAAGTCTGCACGTCCAACATGTTATTAATGTTTGATGTAAAACTTTAAAAATTGTCTCACTGTCCAAATATTTATGGCCCTGCCGGTATCTGGTTTTAAATCTACAGAAACGTTTAGACAACAATATAATCTGTCAACTTTTATACAAGTCCTTGCTGCTGCAATACTCCCACGTTTGATTCCTCTATTCAAGTTAGTGTACAATACACATGTAAAAACCTTGGATATTATTTGGACAAAATAAATTTAGGTCCTCTATTTTATTTGCCTATATGCTGCCACCCCAGTTCTGGCAACATTCAATTATGGATTTAGATGGATTATAAACACAAACATGGAAAGAGTCAATGAAGATAAGCAAACAGGAATCCATATTTTTCATGTCCAGTGTTTTTAATCCTCAGGTTACAGGTAACAAATATATATATATATATATATATATATATAATATATATATATATATATATATATATATATATATGTAGATAACAAGGTTACAGCACTACTCAGTGGCTAATGTTCTGAACCATTACAACATTCAAGCTGGTTAGTAATACATTAAAAAGCTATGTTTCATAGGTATAATAGTTAGACCGTACATACACTAATTAGTATCAAGTGTACTCTGACTGATCTGTAATGCCCACACAAAAGAAGTTTAAAAAGGACCGTAATGTTATTTGTTATTTATATATATATATATATATATATATATATATATATATATATTTTTTTTTTTTTTTTTTTTTTTAAACTGTACAATTAAAAATGATCTTTGAGTAAATGCACATGTACAACTCATAGCAGAATTGGTAAAGCTTAAGAAAGTAGTATTCCAATGCATGTATTCATGAAAAGAAGTTAATACCACATGAATCAATGTGCAAGAGAGACCGAAGATTTAAATTAAAACACCTTTGAACCACTGGGCTAGAAACTTTTCATTAGCTAAAATTCCTCAATAGGGTAATGTTTGCAAATGAGTAGATTTTTTAATTAGGTATAATCTACACCAGCCAGTCCCAACCCCGGGCCATGGACTGGGAGCGGTCCATGAGTCGTTTGGTACTGGCCACGAGAGTTGAGGCTCGAGCGTGTAATTATGGTTTTCAGCGTTTTTAATCGTTTTTTTTCGTTATTTTTATCATTAACTCCGTTCCCTGGGTCTTTTCACACGTGTTATGAACAAATCTTTTTATTTTGGTACTGGTTTTATTTTGTTGCATTTATCGGCGACACCTTAAAAGCCGGTCTGTCAAAATATGTCAGACATAACCGGTCCATGGTGCAAAAAGGTTGGGGACCGGTTTATGTCTGAACTAAAGAACAGATCCGTACATAACTGACAAGCTGATCGACTTTGGCTAGCTAAGGCTAGTGAAAGATTTAAAACTTTAAAGTTATAGTGTGTACAATTTCCACCACTAGATTACAGATATCAGTTCACTGAGTTCTGCTTTCTTACCTCTGCCAATCAAGTGCAAAATCCTAGCTACAGTGACTGTTAAAGGGCAAACAAGTTTTAGTCAGCCAAAAGAGTTTAGACAGATTAAATTTAGACTGTAACCCATAATACCTGCGGGCAGCTGGCATGTTTCAAGAACTGTTTGTGTAAAAATACTTTTTGGATACACTATATTTCAATATTTGAATAATAGACATTAAATACAAATGGATATGGTCACTTAAATATTTTGCAGTATTTTTCATTTTACCCAGAAGACCCCCAAAAACTCTTGCCACTATTGATCTACAGAGAGTGTACTCTGATAACAAAGTGACTCTGGACTGGATCCAGCTTGGAGAGTTTCCCTATTGTGTAATCTGTTTGCCTGCTGTTTAACTCAGCTGTCAATGCTGGATGAGAAGCATCCACCTTAATTTTTTTAATGTGCTGAAAGTGGTTCATATATTAGCACAAGTTTAAAAATAGTCTCTGTGCCAACATAGTTAACTATGCATGTGAAAATGGTAAACAGCTTTTCAGGTGCTTAAGATTTAGCTTTATATTAAGTTTAAAATTTCAAAAGTACAAGACAATGCTAGACTCCTGTATAATAATGTAAATACACACCTTAGCACTTTTAAATGATTGGAAGTTTAGTTTTGTTTGGTCCACATGCTCATAGTTCTATTGTTGATTTCCTGGAATGAGCCAGAATAATCATCCAGTGCCGATGAATTTTGCAAATTTCACTCTGTAGTTTCTGTATTCATTCTGAGTCAAGAAATTAAAACGTAAGCTTGCAGTAGTTTCTAATGAAGTGAAAGAAGAACATTCTCTAAATGGCTATACATTAGCATCTGAGTTAAAAAAAAAAAAAGTAGTAAATTTAAAGATCTTCAGCAGAAAGTTGAATTCTTACAATAAACACTAAGAGCCCGGAAGCTGTAAATTTCATGTCAAAAAAATGAAATGCACTCCAAATTGTTTTCAATACAATGTGATTACAGTATGATAATTCTTTAAACATTTAGGGTCCCTTTAAGCTCCATCAACAGTCAACAACAATACAAGTACAGAACATGAACCACATCCTACTGTACACAATACTACGTCAGAGGCAGTGTGTGTTGTTGTGCCCGCTGCTGTAGAGGGCATGGAGGCTGGGCTGAACCCACTTTCACTTCAGTCAGTTCAAACAGAGAAAATTGTATCACTACTGAAATATCCGGATTCGTCATCCAGTTCCTGAATTTGCTGAAGTGAACAGCGGGTTGATGATGGTCCCATGAGGCACGTTGGACGTGCAGACAAAGAGACTCTGGTCCGAAGTCCCATGATTGTATCATAAGTAAAGAAGTAAATAAAAATATATTGTTACATAGAAAAAGTCTTTAAAGTTCCTCTTGTTTATTTTCCCTTAACGGTCTGATCCCAATGCTCCCAGTTATAGCAGCGAGATTTGTGTTTTTGTGATGTGTACTTTGAAAAGATAACTGCCCACATTGGGTTTAATAGCACTTTAACATGTACTGTACATGGTTTTCCCATTCACACAGAGAGAATATTAGATGATAATGCCAGTGTTCTTCATTACTGACATTAGTGTTGAAACCTCTGATCTCTAACAGAAAACTGAAATAGATGTCTCAATATTGTTATTTTTGTTTCACATTTTGTTCAAAAAAAAAAAAAAAAAAGTAGTCTATTGGTTCTTTAAAAAAATAATTTACTGACAAATATAAGAGTCGATACTTTTTCTTTAGCTGTAATTTAGTTTAAGGAAATTTAGAAATTACTGCTCCAACACAGAGAGAGGCTTAAACAAAACTAAGGTTTGAGGTTGTGTCAAGCTTGGATTTTCTGTCTCCAACAGACCAAAAGCCAATTTTTAATTCATGTCAAACATTTAATGATAATGAGATATGTAGCCCAAATGGCTACAGTTGACAGAGGACTGCTAAAGACATCAAAAACATGTAAAAACTGTATAAAAATAAAGTTATTATTACTTTGATACACCAAAATAACATACTCACTAAATAACAATTTACAACAGCACATCGATGTGATGACTGCACCATATTTCACATTTTTGGTATAAAGCAATATATCACACAACAGGGAACATGTCACTGCTAGACAAGGTTAACTAGATGGAGTGTAAACTCTGAGACCGAGCAGCACTAATTTCGTATTTGTGGCATCAGGAATGGCTTGTATTTTTTGACCCTGTTTTAGAAAGCCAAACTAAAATGGCAACACTCATTTTAGAGAAGACCACTGTTGTCCTTTGCTACAGTCTGTTCATTTGAACTATGAATCATGCGAAGTTACCAAAGACCTTAAATAAAAATATAGAGCTTGAAGTAGCTATATCAAATCCCCTTCAGTTAGGCAGGGTTCAAACTGCTGGGGGGATAGTGGGGGGGATTTCTAGGCAAAAGCTAAAATATGATTTTTTTTGTTTTGTTTCTTTACACTCCCTGTGCTCTTCAGCAATCACAACCTGATTTAATTATAGATCAAATATAGGGCTGTTCGATATAACGATATATATTGGATGACAATATAAAAACATCTATCATTTCATTTTATACTATCGTTTGTTTCGTGGTGTCACAAAATAAACTGTTTAAGGCAATATTTTTTCGTGGTGGTCACTGTAGTGGCTATATTAATTTCTTAAAGTTCTCTCTTTCTCTTATATTTAATATAACCACACTACGGACGGACAAGCGCCTGTTTAATGCGTTGTCGTTAGCAACAAAACCATTGCGTGTCCGCTTGTTTATTTTCCACATAAACCTTTCATAATAAAGCTCAAGATCCTGTTTAGACTTTTCAAAATAAACTGAATCGCGTGAAAGAGTATGCAGAGTATTTACGGATGAGAAGCAAAAAAAGAGCCGTCAGGTGTTAAAAAATAAACCTTAGACTCAAACATTAGAACAGGCTTTTCCCCGCAGCACGCCGTGTAATAAATACTTACAAAGAAAACGGCGGCCGTTACAACTTATGTCTAAAAATGTATAGTTTCATTCAGCATTAAAACACTCTACTCCAGTTACACGACGCCCAGCTGGAAACACTTCACGCAAGTCGAGCTGCCCGAGATTCGAAGATTTATAGAAAATGTTAAATTTTTGTGATTTATATCGTTATCGGGACGATAGATGTCTTATATCGGGATATGAGATTTTGGTCATATCGCACAGCCCTAATCAAAGTTTTGACTTTTAATTTAACAATTAAAAACACTACTTGTGAGATACCTTGCAAGCCACCATTTTCCATTTCCCTATGTATTTTCATTTGTTTATTTATTTATTTAATGTATTATTCATTGGTCTTTTTAAGTGTTAACATAAAGGTGATAAAGAAAAAAAAATTATTTCTTTTGCATTGTAAGTTACAGCTACCATATTACCCAGACTTAGCATTGCTGCCAGAACCTCTCTGGAGCTGTACTTGATGAATATTACATAAACAACTGTTAACACCACTATACAAGCTTCGCTTAGCAGAAGAATATTAGATTTAATTGGTTTAACAAAAATACTGTATTAGGATAATGCACTACTAGTTATAGCATGAGTTAAGTGGTTAGTATATATTTATCAACATTAAAGCAATAAAACTACTGGAGCTATAATTAGCCACTAATTGCTTTGCTGTACTACAAGAACTATAGCTTAGCAGAAGATTAGCATCAATCTGCTTTGTTAGCTTTTAGCATGTTGTTAAAGGTAGCCCCATTTGGGACCTCAGCAAAAGCTGGGAAACTTACAGAAACAAGAATGTAAAAGTTGCTGTTACCCCATGGGCAACCGTTGATAAAATAATTTATTTGTTAGCTGTTTATCCATTAGCTTACAAGCTTACATAACTACCAATGTCAGTTGTTAATGTATCTGAACCTAGCATTAGCCCTATTGATGTCAATCTAGTTTGTGTGTTTGGCATCTCTGAGAAGTTTGATGTGCAATAGTTTAATAAGTCAATGAGATTGTGAAAAAATATGAAAAAAGAAAACCCACCAATAAATAACAGGTTAAAAAAAAAAAGGAGCATTTGAACCTTGTCTTAGCCTAAGTGTAGGAAGTGCACTGTGACTAAATCAGAGAGTAATGAATAGCATGCTGAGGTCACAAACAGGTAAGTGTTGGTTCAACAGTACTAGAATAGTTTAACCAATGGTGCAGCTAACAGTCATTTTTCAGTAGCCATTTTTATAAAAACACCACATTACAAAATAATGAAAATGCTAGAAGACATAAACACAACAGTGTTATTGAACAATGTACCATCAGTTTCAGTAAATTGAAGTTGTTAAGTCTCCATGACAAAAGAGACATTATGGGAGAGTCTGGTTAGTTAAAACTCGATCCAACAATCGGTTGGTTAAGTGAAATGGGCGGGTCCACAGAGTTTGATGAAAAAGAAAAGATGAAAAGATACATTCCATTCTTAATAATTTGCCTTTTCCTTTTCCTTGAGCAGATTCTTCCCAGAACAGTCCTGCTTGGTTGTCCATGCTGTCCATCAAATTCCAAGGCCTCCTCCAGAATTTCCCAGACTTCCCAAACCACAGTTCACACCCGCAGAGGACTGTTTTAGCACACTTCCAGGTTAAACTTGTACCTTCGTCAGGTGGATAAACCTCACTGGCCAGTTTCTGCACATAGACGGGCTTCATATAGGCTCAAGGCATGATGGACAAACTCATACTGTTCACCTGTCTGGATCATGCCTCCTCTACATAACGGAAGAGAGAGACAGAGTTAGGAATGAGAAGCAAAACTATTTGTTTAAAACATGCAATAGGGATGAATTTAGTGCTGGCAATAAACCATAACACACCATCTGACTCTAAAGTGCAGACAAAGTCAAATTTGCAATTTATGTATCTTATGTCACTTAACAAGGCTGGGCGACATGTTACAAATCTCCAAAACAACTCCTGATGAACTCAACAAATCAAAGTCATATTCGTCCAATCATTCAAACTTTGTTATGATTACTAATAATTTAATTTAAATTAATATGTATTGGATACATGTTTAAAAAAGGTCCTCAATGAGCGCTTTAGCAACCACAAAGAGGACAAAAAACAACAACAACTAAACACTGAACATAATCATCAATGGCAAGGAAAAAAGCGACCACACAGAAAGAAAACTGCCAAAACCAGTTTAAACAATCAATGCAACACAAAACAACTGCAGGACACCTTAAATTTCCACAAATGAGGGGGGGAAAAAATAAAAAAATAAATGTCCAGATACACATAATATACACAATTGTAAACAAAAACAACCAGAAAGAGATAAAAAAAAAAATGACCACAAACTAAAACAAGACTATCACCAAAAGGTCTGAAACAACTGCAAGGACACACTCAATGCCTTCAAAGGGAAACCAAGAGACCACAGAGACTTAAAATGACCACAAAGACAAGCGAGGCAGCTTCAGAGTTTATGCAAAAACCATGTTTCTCAGCGACTAATGGTACTTTTTTACAAGAGCCAGTTAGAGGTTTAAATGTCAGCTTTTTAACACCCTTTAGATTGTTTTAATCATGGAAGTGAGGACCTGCAGGTCATCAGTAAAAACCTGCAGGAGTACACGTGTGTTACCTGTCGGCTCGGAGCTGGCAGGTGATGCCCAGTACATCCACCACTCCTTCCAGCTGTAGCTGCCGGCAGCCCATCGTCGTGGCGATGAAGCATCCCGTTCGCCCAATCCCAGCACTGCGATCAAACGAGCAGGGTGTCATTTCATAATTATATAGTAGTAACAGAACTGTCACGCTGTCGGTCAGTCTGTCAGTACCTGCAGTGGACTATAACTGGTCCCACGTTGGTGGCGGCCCGTCTGTCCGTCTCTACGTCAGTCATGAGCTGCAGCAGCGGCAGTGCTGAGACCGGGGTTTTGTGGTCAGGCCACGATGTGTACCAGTAATGCTGCACAGAGCGGGTTTGGTTCCCACACTGCATACATGAAAACATACATGACATATTAGTCCTGATTCTCAGCTCTGATGAGAACACGTTCCCTGCTGTGCAACGTGTACCTTGAGCGTGAGGCTGCGAGTGGTGTAGTGTTCGCACTCTCTGATGCTGTTCACCAACACTTCAACCTTCCCATAGATGCCTCTTTTCTCCGGCCAGTACAGAACACACTTCTACAGAGGCAAGCACAAAGACGGCATTCATTAACTTCAGCTCACCTTTCACTCCTGCTGAGCACTTTCCAGATCACTCCATTTTTGTTGCTATACACTCAGCGCCTACAACACTTAAAATCTACCCTGGCATTAAGAAGACGCTCTTTCTTCCACAGTCTTTGCTTTTTAGACTCTTACCTCGTTCTTCTCCTTCAGTTTGGTTATCATGACAATAACTGGTGACTCCTCTTGCCAGGCCATTTGCCAGAAGTCATTCACCGTGTTCACCATAGGACCCTGAGTGGCGATGTACGCCTTATCGTCCCCCAAGTAACCCTGCAGAATGAACCAATCACACAGCAGGGTCAGCATCATTCACAGAATGATGAATGTATTCCTCCACCAGGGTCTATCAGCAGCAGTAGACAAAATATACCGGGATTTCCCAAAACTTCATGAAGACATGCAAAGAAAGAACCTGTTACATTTTGGAATACATAAATAAAATAAAAACGTAGAAAAACCCATTTGTCTGCATTTAAACCATTTTTACACAAAGAAAAACGGCAAGAAAATGTTAGAACTGTAGATTAGTCTAAAATAAAGAACCTGAAAAACATCATTAACTTGGTTATTCAGCTGATCCATTCGCTCGTATTCACTGTTAAACAGCAGGTTAAATCTTTCATGCCTGTATATGAGCTAGTTTAATTGAACAGTGATTCAGTGTTCTCTCGCTGGCATGGCCTTTAAGGCATTTGTGAATAAAAACTTGTTTTATTTCAGGGTGCTCCTCATGCTGTCGGTTTTTAACCGACATAACTGATAACTGGATCAGGATGTGGCTAGTTCCAAACTAGCTTGAGCTAAATGTGTGCAGAGAGCAAAAAACGGTGCATTAATGACTCCAGGTGACATAACAAAAACAAACAGTAAGACCGTGCCAAACTGAACTTCAAAAACATATTTCATTTCTAAGCTTCAAATTAAAAAAAAAAAAAAAAAAAAGTGCTGTGTTTCATTTCATAATCGCTGTTATTTTCATGTAATTGAAGTGCTTACTTATTCTGGATGAATAAGATTTTTGGTGCGTGTGCGTGTGCGTGCGTGTAGTAGGACAAAGAAATTAAACAGCCTCGGTTGTCTCATGAGGTCCGCCGCTTTAAACTGTTTCAGTGGTGTTTCCTGACAGGAAGACAGTCTATTGTGTGGAAGTCTGAGAGCGACATTACAGACTTCTACAGGCAAATACTTTCACTGTGTAGGTCGACGAGGAGCCAGAAGAAAAAGAAAAGGCTGTTTACATTCCAGATGAGTGATAATGACAGCCTGCTTGCTGTTTTTTCTAAGGTTTAGAGAAGATTTAACAAAACAAATGTCATCATTAACTGGACTGAAAAGTTTTTCAAAACCTGAGTAAGTACGAAAATGTCTCCCAGATTAAACACAGCAGCTGAGAGCTAGAACAAAAAACAGGAAATACAAGTAAGCCAGGCAAAAATAAATAAATAATACTCAGAGTACAATTTGTTGTTATGCAACTGATCTACAGACAGAACATGAAAATACAGATGAGTCGATCAAAACAACACAAACAGCAAAGAAAACACAATAAGCTAATTGTCTGGAAAATAATGAATAGAATTTTTTTTTCAGAATAGAAAAAGGAAAATAAATGAAAACAACAAGTATGTTAAGTATTAGTTCATAAATCGATTGCTTGGACTGCAGGACAGTTTGTGCCGTTACCCACCCGTATGTAGTTAGCATTGATGTAGGTGCTCAGCAGGTCGTTGGAGCTCTTTGACTTTAGGATCACTCTGGAATGAGGGTCTAGGAAACATACCAAGGACAGGAGATGAGGACACAAGGAAAGGTACAAAGGAGAAAACTAACGAGAATAGTTTAAATTAAGCTCAAAAACATTCTGAGGAAAAGTATCACTTTTAATCAGCACCTGAATTTTGAAACTCATCTCTCAAAGTTTACCCAGTCTTGTTTTCTTTATCTGAGAAATATTGTGTAAATCAAACTTTTACTGTCAGTCAATCATCTTAAACTTTTAGTACACACTTTAATTTTCTCTAATCTTGATTATTGCAATTCACTTTTCATATGTGTCACTTCTAACACCTTATCAATGCAGCTGACCTCTCCAATCACCTAACCAGGGTCATCTAACAGTCCCTCGCTATCATATTAAAACCAGAGGTGACCGTGCTTTTAAACTGTAGCTCCCAAACTGTGGAACCGCCTTCTTCAGACTATAAGGTCACCTGACTCTGTTATTTGTTTGAAATGTCTGCTGAAAACTTATTTTTAGGTAAAAGCTGAGGCTTCAATGTAGTCCTAAACAAGCCAATATATGATGACAGTGGATATCTACCTATAACATCTAGGGTTGGTAGAGTCCTATTGCAGGTTATGTTTTAACGTTTGGAGCACATTTAAGAACAACACAGAATGTGGAACAGAGGAAAGTCTGATTGACAGCAGCTCTAGGTGAGCATTCCTTTCTCTTGATTGGTCGGAAGGAAGGAACAGTGCTGTATTGATAACCCCACCCTCCTCCCAAAGCACGGCTACACAAACCAAAAAGTAAGTGTGTGTGTGTGTGTTACATAATGTCTTAATCAGGATAAGTTCCTGGCCGACAGTGTGAGAACAAACTGTGCTCAGAGGAAAATGTATTGTTCCGTCTGCTCATGGGGAAGAGGGAGGTGCGATAATAGCTGTCCTTGCGGTTGTTGGCCTTTGACACTAAGTCCCGCCTACATAATAAAACAACTTCCTGGTTCATCAGGAAATCAGAGACTGGGATTGTTTTGGAAGTATTTCTAACTCCATAGCAACACTGAGAATACTCACTGGGCAATATGGTCTTATATCTGTTCTTGGTCCCATGATTCGGAATATCCAGCTCCTTGGGATCTATGAAGTTCATTGGGATTTCCTGAGATTTTAGGAAGACAAGTTTCAATTTTATGGCACATTTCTTACCCAGATTAAAACACAATGCACTTTACATGAGTATTATTTCAACTTGACTTGGTTAGTTAATGATCTTTGTAAATGAAGAAAATGCAATGCCTTTCTCTTCTCATTGCAAGAAACTGCTGCTGATTTTCTCACATAGAGCTCTAAAATCCATTATAAAGCTGTTCCAGCTATGAACTTGAGGGCATTATGAAAGACTGCATCACTGCATGTAAATCAGCCCTTCAACATTTCAGTGTGTCCCATCAAAAACCCAACCAAAGCATGAAATTCGGGCTCACAGCGAACTCTGCGTGCAGCCTGTGGGTGTTGTTAACGATGTCGCGCAGCTGCTGTCGGGTGAGCGGCCGGCCAGCCGACAGCAGGTACTCCCTGGCCACTGCCTCCCTGGGGGTTACCACGGCGACGTTAAGGGGCTCCACAGTGCCGAGAGCAGACATGTCCAAAACCAGGGAGACATTAGAGCCACGTCTGCAGAGGAAGGATGGGAGGGAAGAGGCAAAGACAGCTTTTGTTAAAAAATGGAAGGGCTGATCACGCGAACGAGTTCCCTTCCTTCCTACATTTTTATTGCACTTCTCTGGTTTGCTGGTTGAGTTTCAGTTTGGCTTGGTCAATTTTAAGGTTTTTCCTGACTCAGAGTTTGCAATTTGATAAACAAAAATCCCCCTTAATGCTTCAGACAATTTAACACAAAGAAAAACCAAAACTGGTTGAAAATAATTTTTGTTTACTTTATTTTACAACAGCAGTGATTTAACCTCGGCTCTTACTAAAAACTCTGTTTGGTCTGACAAACTCTTGCTTTCATAAGGAGACAACGCTCTTCCAGCTGATAACAAACCACCGAACCCAACATCAAAGAAGTTGTCGTGTTCAAAATGGTTTGCTCCATCTGACAAATCACTCACTTTAAAAGCTCAGTCTCATTCCTCCTGTACATCTTCAAACCAAAAATTCTGTTTTAAAATAATTAACTGCTGTTCACCGTCATCATGACTCCACACAATCTGGTTTTACGTATGTAGGGGAAACCACCGCCAACCTCAGCAGGGTATATGGTTCAAAGAAGGATTCATTCAAACCCGGTCACAGACAGTCTGTTTGATGAATTGTTACCTTCAAATTATAACAAAAATATAGTCAATTATTTTACGTTCAGGGAATCTGATCTGTCTGGTGACTGACCATTTGCCAATTACAAAGTAATGCAATGACAGATTCCTGCAGTCTTGCTAATCAACAGCTAGCCAACAAATGTTATCTTATTCGCTAACATTCAAGTCAAGTGCCAAGAGAGCTCTGAATTATACATTGGGGAAACCAAACAACTTCTGCTTAAGCAGATGGCACAACAGGATTCAGAAGTCAATTATTACAAGATGAGGATGTGCACATGGTGGACTGGAAGGAGCACTGGGTTGACTGGGCTGACAAGGACGCCCATTTTTATGAAAAGGGGACATCTCTGAACCAATGAGGGGACCTAATGGTCACAGCAGCCAAAAAAGCTGGGGTGCAGCCATCTCCCTCACAGTTTGCATGGTAATTGCTTATGAAATGGCACTTGTGGCTCATGGTTAGGCACTGGAGCTGGTTTCAGTTGTTATGCGGCTTTATGGTTTATAATGTAGGGAAACCTGCAGTCAGCTGACTGAAAAAGTTACTTTGATGAGTGATGAAATATTTCTTCCTGGATGAATATGCAGCATCCAGATGAACAGACAAACATCCACCTATTGACATGAAAGTCTGGTTTTATAAGACTCATTAAAACATGATTTTTCAATAATTCATGATAATTTTATGAATATTTTCAATTCAAACTGGAACTTTTCATACTTTGTGTACTTTGGTTTTACTTGCACATCTCTGGTTGTTGCCTCCTTGATATTAATTACATGCTGCATGCATTCTTCTGTCTAAAACATGGGGTGCTGCCATCCCGTCCAGTGCAGACATATCTGGCTAAATAACCAATGCATTTTACATTATTCAAGAATCTCGTGATAATCCCTAAATAAACAAAGGAAATTCTTTATTGACAGCAGATTAATAACCAACACAAACTTCATGTTGAAAGAGCAGAACTGCTGAGCTGAACTCGTCGGAACAAAAGGCCGAGAGGTACAGAAGACAAGGTGTGCTTTGATGGGGTTCATGTGGGTGGACTCTCTTCGTCTGACTACGTGTCAGCCAGTTTCCTCTCCAGGATGCTGCTACTTCCAGTTTGTCTGATTGGCGATTGGCTGCCATCCAGAGTGGACAACGCACACACAGACACACAAGTGAGACACAGACACCGAGAAAAACATCCTGTTCTCCCTCAGAGCCCGAAATCTTCCTTCCTTTTCTTACCTTAAGGAACACTGTACGTTTAATTACCTCGCTCTGATGTAACCAGAACAAAATGGCCTCCGAGGTCTGAGTGTGATTTAGCGGAAGACTTAGGAGCAGCAGATAAAGCCCTAAGTGCTCAACGTCAAGCCGAGGCGCACAAAGATGTTTTCTTTTCAGTTATGAAACTACTTAAGGGGGGAAATGAGCCTCAGCCAAGTTTGAAGGCGACAGCAACTGTATGAAAATGTAAGTCGGCGTTCTCTCAACACGTCTGACTTAGAAAAATGAGGTCAAACTAATTTACTCAACCAAATCCAAGCATCTCACAACTAAATGCGTCTTATGTAACTAATGTGCCGAAGGGTGACTTTTTAAGCCAAAAACATCATCATATTACTGAAACGATATGATGATAAAAACCTACAAAGATGTGAGATAAACTTTAGGCACACCTGCCAATGTTTGCCAAGCTTTTACTCTTTTAAGGTTTGTATTAAGATATTTATGATATCTAACAAAGGGACAAATTGTTGAAAAGAGTGAGTCAGTTTAAGTAAGTGTACACGTTATATGGCACGGGTTGGGAACACAAGAAGACCAAAACTTCACCAGGACTACGGATTCACAATCCTACCGCTTTAAATTTATTAGTAATCTGATAATTCAAAGGTAAGGTGGCAAATTCTTTCCACTCGAGGCGATTCATGTTAAACGCCTGTCCACACAGAAAGTGATTTAGTTGTTGGAGAACGCTTCGAGCTGTTGGTTATCCGCTAGCAGGGATGCCACGCTCCTGCTGAGGAGGTAATCAGCAGGACTCTTTGATCCCACTCAGAGTTGATAAATTCTGTAATTCGGGATCCACCAACTTCACCTCCACAGCAATTAGTTTGTTTACAAGGCTCAGAGTTTCAGATACTTCCCATCAGACAGGCCAAAGAATCTGATTTAGTGGAGAAGAAACCAGTAAAACTCCAGAGCCTACTTCTGCCTTGCCAAATATATTGCACTCCACTCGGGAGAGAAGTCTGCATTATGAAGCTGGAGGTGTCATTAATCACAGCTTTGTCAGCCAGAAGAATCTCCACTGCAAGCTGAAAATGACTTTATTAGGTCTAAGGAAAGAAAACATCAGAGTTTGGGTTAAAGACGCCCTGTATAATCAGGAACTAGCCCTTTATCAACTCCATCAGACGCAGACAGCTCCTGGAGCGAGGTCTCAGCGCACACACAGGATGGACTGAGGGGACAAAGAGGGGTCGTTTTAAACTTTCAACTCGAGACCAAGAATAAAAATGCGTTCATAAGAATCAGTTTATGACTGTGGAAACCTGAACTAACAATACACACCTCACAGCTCCAAGCCTGAGACAAGTGTGGAAGTGTGTCCGACGGGACCCCTCTATTCATATAAACACCAGCCTAAGGACCTGCTGAGTCCTCTCTGATAGATATGAACACACACTCTGCAGACTGATTACAGAGGAAACTTACGTGACTGTCTAAATGCAAGCCTTCGGTACTGATAAACAGGCAGACAATATATTAAAAGGGAAAGCTGAACCCTTCACCCCTATAGTGAGGGGGATCTCCTGGCTCCGCTCTGCGGTGCCCTGCAAAGCCACTTGTACCCTTAGAAGGAAGGGTTGCTGCAAATCACTTTTATCCTACGACAACATTTCTATCCTGATGGGAGCGGTCTCTTCCAGAATGATAACGCTTCTCTCCAAAGGCTACAAGGGCTCACTGAGTGGTTTGAGGAGGCTGGACATGATGCGAATCAAACACTATGGCCTTTAAAGTCAACAGATCTTAATCCAGTTCAATCCCAAATTTAACATCACAGCTATAGAGCAGCTAACACCATCAAAAGCAACAGCTTACAAAAGTGTTTGCATTTTATAATCAGGAAATAGACGGTACCCAGCTTCAAAGAGGTTTTTCTTCTTTTTGCACTGTTTGTGTCGAACTTGCCAAACACATTTCTCGTGCTTCCAAGTCTTTAGTAACAGCGAGAGTAAATGTTAAGACTCCATGAAATGAGACTGAAAAAAATTAACTAATCATGGATTTAATGTTTCCACCACACTTTCCACCTTGTGTAAGCACATCTGTTCAAAGGCTCATTGTGAGCACGTACACAGCTCAACACCTGCCTGCTCCAACAATCACAGGTTAGAGGTTACGCTACTCCACACACCCACACACACACACACACACACACACACACACACACGGAGCGCGTTCTTCCTCTCACAAACACTGAGTGCTCATTAGATACATTTCCATCTGAATATTAAAAATAAATAAATAAATAACATACAGGCTTCATTGCCATTTGAAATTCAGTAGCTTTTTGATCTTACAATATTTTATAATTAAAAAATTCCCATTTTAATTCATCCAGATTCTTGATGCTTTTACATAAGACTGTAGATATGACTGTGTGCTACCACACAGCTGAAACTGTACTGAACCTCTACTGGGCGCACGTCAGTGTGACCGGGTCCTACAGTTACTAGTCTGGTTTTATTTAAGGTGATGTCTTTTTCAGGGACAGGCTCTCTTTTTTCAGTCCAAACCACATTCAGCACAACAGAAGAGTTCAGGTCTTAAAGTGTGATGTTCATGTTTGGTACCGGTGTTTTTTCAACATGACAATCCAGAAGAAATTCTTACCTTTCTTGAAGTCCTGCAGCTGGTTTCATCCTGAAGGGGGAGGGGCAGGGCTTCAGCTCGTTATTGGATGTAACTGGGGTCACGCTGGGTGGGGGTGTGTGGTTGTTGCTACCAATAATTGGTACAGGTGTGGGGGCGGGGCTATGAGGAAAAAATAGAGCAAATTAAGCCTAGACTGATTAAAAACTATCAAAGCAGCAAGCTGTGGAGCTTCATAAGATCATTCCCATTATGAACATCTGCAGATGTTATGCAGCTGAGAAGTCCCGACTTTTAATCAGATTATCACTTTATTAAAACTCAAACAGAAACTACCAAAGCATCATGGGAAAAAGTCTGTGGCTAAATAAAATAACCTTGGCAGGGGGACGACAGGTGGACCGAGGTGATGGCAGGCTGTGATTGGCTGTCGCTGGGGAATGGGTGTGGCTACAGCAGGCAGGAGCTCAGCTTGGACCATGCTTCCTGAAACGATCACCTGAAACACACACACTCGTTAAGTTGCATTCCTGAGCTAACCTGGCTGTTATAAGCTGGGCATACACTGCAATTTTTTCAGTCATGTTATTCAGCTCGGGTTCGTCAGTCACGATGCGTGGTCTCACACTATACAGCACAATGCTCTGATGCGACCGGAGTGCTCACACTGTGCGTCCATAACATGAAGCTTATAACACAAAATCTGTCTCTTGGTCTCCCTCTGTCTCACACACACACACACACACACACACTTTGCTAAATTGCTAAAGAAAAACATTGATCAGGCAGCTGCAACTCAGCAGTAATGTCCATCCAACTCTTTTCACGGTTGGTGCAGTCGTGATAAATTTGTGAGGCCAGACCGAAAAGGCTCGGATGAGCTTGCCAAAGATCTACAAGTTGTGCTTTCATCGCTTGTGTCCAGATCACACGCTGCACTGCCGTGCTGCTCTGTCTTCCTGCTTCCATTTCTGTTTGCGAGTGCGCATTGTGAGAGGCTGCATTGACATCCTCACGAGTGCCGACAGGATTTCAACCAGGTTTGATTTTCTTGCGACCCTGCAATTGTTGATCGGGAGTTGGTCGTGAGGTGTTAATCACTTCTCATCACCCCATGTATACTACACGATGCACGACACACGATAAAGGCGAAACTCGGGCCGATCCCCAAAACGGTCGCACGACTGAAAAATCCACTCAAAATGGACCAAAAATCGCACAGTGTATGCCCAGCATTAGACAAGCAGTGGGAGTGTGGTGGTGACCTTGGTGCCCTTTGACCTCTGGGTGGGTTCTGGAGGTACTGTCGGGGTTAGATGGAGGTCAGGGGGTGGAGCTTTCAGCTGTCTGTCAGAAACCTGCACCTTCTCTTTCATTCGGTACAAAACCTGGAGGGAAAAAAGAAAGAAAGATCGAGGTCGTTGCTGCAGAGCGTGAAGGATGGAGCTCGTTCAGATCAGGAACCTGAAAATGTTCTGATCCCAGATGTGAACATCCAGGATTTGCATGCTGGAAAAAAACAAAAAAAACAACAGGAACCTTCTAGAAAAAAAAATACACTTAAGGATAAATGATGATGTCATTTATTGTTTTTTTTTAACATTGCATTTTTAGTCTCTTCTATTTTGTTTTTAGGAGTAATTTTTTTTGTTTTACCTTCCTGTGGGCCATAATTATTTTATCAAGTTTTCCACTGACTTTTTTCTATGTCTTCTATCAGCTGTATTTAATAACTTCTTGCTTTGTGCTGGTTGACTGATTTTCTTATATATTCTCTGTTTACTGTGTTTAATTTATTTTATATAGTTTCTTACATCTATATATTTTTTTTATATTCTTTATTATATTAATATTATTTTTTTAAATATATATTTGGGTTGACTTGTGTATTTCCTTCCCATTATTTTTTATTTTCTATTTATTGTATTCAAATGCTGTTTTATTTCCCCCACTCTATTTCTTTTTCAAATACTGGAAAGTGACATTTGTATTCTTAGATTTTTAATATATTACAGTTTTATTCTATTTTATCATCCTTTTATGTTATTCTTATTTTAATGTATTTATTGCTTTGTTTCTTTTGAGGGTTCACTGGTGAGTTTCTGCTTGAAGAGCAACAAAATTTGTCCAGAGGAAAAACAATTTACTTCTTTCTTTTTTGTTTTTAAATATAATATTTTAACAGGTTTTCATTCCGTTTTTGTTCTGTTTTTGGTCTGTTTGTTGGATCTGACATAAATCTGCTAAACCTGTGAATATTGGAACATTGTAGAAAAGGAAGAGGAGAAAAAAGGGAATATAAGGCCGAGGCATGCAGAGGTTTGTGTGTGCAGGTGCTCCTTCATGTGGACAAGATGTGACGTGCAACTTTTAAATATTAGTGACTATTTTGTGTTTGCTTTAAAAATTATTTGTTGTTCATATGCATATGATTATGTGATTTTATTTGTTTCTTCTTTCTATTTGGGGTTCATTAATATTTTTTTGTCACTCTAAAAAGATTTATTTATTTACATTTGTTTTTTATAACTTTTTATTTTCTTTTTGTATTTTGGGGAGTGACTTTGTAATCTTATTTAATGTTTTTATTAAGTTTTGTTTGTCTCTTTTGTTTGTAATTTTTTCAGATTTTTATTATTTCTAAGAATGAATTATTCATGAATTTGTTTTCTTTCTTTCTTCTTGGAGAATTCATTTATTTACTTTGAAGGCTTCATATGTTCTTCAGTAACTCTCTGACCTAATTACATGTAAGTCAAAGTGCTTGAAGGAGTTCTTGTTAACTGGTTGATTGGATTTACTGATGTGGCAGCTGAGGATTGTGAACCCAGATTTGAACCCAACATCGACTAATTAGATTAGCAAATCTTCTATCTTCTTTCACTGTGGGATATAGGACAGGTTTTTATGCTAACTTTATACACATTAGTGAGTGAGTGTCCAGTCTTGCATATTTACAAAAAACAAACAAACAAACAAACAAACAAACAAACAAACAAAAAACAAAAACCACACATTTACCATCAAGCAGGTGATGACGATGACGAATACAGTGAAGAAGAGGACGACAGCATAAAAGCTTTCTCTGCTCCACACGTGGTCCCTCTGCTCGCCCTGAAGGACGTTTTTCTACAGAGGAAACGAAATTTAAAATCCAGTTTGTGATCATCTGTTCAGGATTTGCTTTATGACCTCCTCACGGTCTGTGTTAGGCTGTGAAGGTGGGAGGCAGATCTGAAGACGTTCAGTCCATCATGATCTAATATTTCCCAACAGGCCTGCATCTGTCAGCTCGTACTTCCTGAGAATATCTGATTTCAAAAAATTTCCACAAAATTATTGAAGCTATTCGTCCAGAATATGTGAACACAGTTTTTGTTCTTCACAGTGATTTTACAGCCTTAAGCTGCATTTATACTTGACCTTTACTTTAAAGTTTATTAGATTTACAGACTCTGGTTTTGTTTTGTTTATTTTTGGTAGCACGTTTTCCAAAACAGTGGCTCCAAATTTTTTGCACAGTACTTTAAAGATCACCATAAAGAAGATATTATAGGAGCTGCCATTCAGTCAGAGATTAATAACCTCTGACTGAATGTTGTCACTGCAGTCAGAAGTCTGAGAGCATTCAATATTCAAAAACAGATTTTTGGTGGATTACTCCTTTAACGCAGCCTGATTGTGGGCATCTGCTTCTCACTGACACCTGTGGGAAGTTTCTGATTTGTTGCTGTAATATCGCCACAGAAGAAGAACTGCGTTAGTCACAGCTGCGACTGTGAGTGATAATATTAACTTAACGTATAAAGCTGCTCCGCTCCTCATCTGGCTGATCGATGGCGCTTTAATAGTTCTATTAAACTTTCAAGAGCGGCGCTCTGCCCTCTAATAATCTCAATCCATCCTCCCTGCCTGTCTCCATGGCAACTAATGGGGATGCTTAACAAGAAACACACACACACACACACACCTCAGTGGAGACCTCGGTGATGCCAAAGTGTCCCAGGTGGCGATGAAGCACCCTGACGTTCAGTGATTGGATGACCTCCTCGGCGGGGCGGGGCTCGGAGATCCCCAGCCTATCGGAGGACACAAACAGCTCGATGCCATTCTTCTTCTCCTGTAAGAGATGTCTGTCAGTCAGGCAGTCAAGTGAACAGCGGGTGAGCAGCGGGTGATCGACTGGCATCTTACATTCAGCTGGTTGATGTGGACGTGCCCCACAGGAACGCCCAGCGCTGCCGCTACACCCTCCCGAAACCACCGAAGAAGACTGACGTTCAGCCTTCTCACATCCACAGCCAGGTACTGAGAGAGAGAGAGAAGAGAGAGACCGGACCCATTTGTGTCGTTTAATGCAATCATCTCACCCAAAAAAAACCAAATAAAACCCCCCCAAAAAACAAAAAACACAACAACAACAACAAACATAGCTGCCCTGCGCTTAGATGCATAATTATTGTACCAACAAACCATCTGAAGAATCTAGTTTTGGTGAGTAAAATTCTAGAAACTGTAAAACTATATTTTATGGACGCATTTGCCCGATAACCCCAAAAGTCATAGCAGCCAAAAAAAAACTCTACTGATGCAGCCGTGCTAGGATATTAAATCTAGCCAAAAATATCAAACAGCAAATATCAAAAAAGTCATGCAAAAAACAAAAATGCCAACACTGGAGCTTTACAGCGAGTCCACGACCAGTCCAAGGCCTGAAGCCTGTCGATTACATACTGTAACCCCAGGTTCTGAGAACACTGGTGCAGCCGTCTAATACAAAGAGACCAAAAACATGTCATGACAGTTTTGCACTGATGGGAGGACACCGTGAAGCAGATGGGAAAGTTATGCTGATCTGAACTTTGATGCAGTATGATGGACGGGACTATGAATGCGAGAACAGGACATTATTAGCTGAAGGCGGTCACCGACACGAGCTGAGCTGGAAACTAAAACTTGGAATTCAGCTGAAAAACACCTGCAGACATCACCTGATTATACAGCGCACCGTTTTCGTGATGTTTTCAGATTTGAAATTATTGCATCGTGAATGTGTGTTTAAAGGGGAGAAACAGAGTATTCAGCCAGTCGTGCTTTACTGTACTCTCTTTTTATCCTTGGTCTGGCCAAAATAACAAAAATAATAATAAAAAGCAAAAAAAAAGCAAAAAAATGAATGACAGCTCTGAACTGAAGATCAGTCCCGACTCCGACAAATAAAACTGGAAAAGAAAACCTAAATAATCACCATGCTGGATCTCCTGCCTCTCCTTAGGAGGAGAGACTTTTGTTCTGTGGCTTCATCACCAAACAGATCAAATCATCCCTCCATCGCCCATCCTGTTATTTTATCTCTCTGTGCTCTCACCCTCCTCCTCCGGTTTGGCTCTTCTGGTTTTCCCAAAAGCCGCTCAGCTTCCAGAAAAAGTGATATGACAGACGCTAATGAGTCACTGAAGTTTACTGCAATCTGTGTGCAGAGAGAGCCAACAGGAAGTGCTTCTTTGGATGAAGACTGACGAGTACACAGACAAAGAGCTGTTTGGTTTAAGTCTCTCATTTCAAAGTAAACTTTATATTTAAGGGAAGTGAAGGTTCAGATGTATTGACTTTAAATCCAGTTATCAAATCCAAATCCTCCCAGATCCCTCAATGATCATCTCCAGTTGTAATCATTTGCAAACATTACAGATAGATGCAGTTGGCTCAGTTAACAGCAGTTTATAGACCTGAGCTACTTCAGTAGGGACGGTGGGGCCAGCGGGGGCTTTGTGTGCTGTGGATCAATTTGACTATGCGGGCAAAAGAAATACTTCTGTCCTTGTCATCTCACACCTGTGCTGAGACACTACAGAGAGCGACAAGCTGAACACACTCATAAGTGCTGCCGCTGCCCTAACATCACACTGTGCGTGCTTGCTTGTATGTGCATGCGTGTGTGTGTGCTTGTGTGTATGTGTGCACGTGTGTGTGCGTGCGTGTGTACGTGTGTGTGCGTGTGTGCGTGCGTGCGTGCGTGCGCGTGCGTGTGTGTATGTGTGCACGTGTGTGTGCGTGCGTGTGCGTGCGTGCGTGCGTGCTTGTGCGTGCGCGCGCGTGTGCATGCTTGTGTGTGCGCGCCCGTGTGCATGCTTGTGTGTGTGCGCCCGTGTGCATGCTTGTGTGTGTGCGCGCCCGTGTGCATGCTTGTGTGTGTGCGCGCATGTGGGAGGTTGTTTACTAATGGCTAAAACAACCTGTTCTGCTGCCACTTAATTCAATATGAGGAACAAAAAGCAGAGGCACACAGCTGATGTTATTATCCAACTGCGTCTGGTTGCAGCTCGTTCTGTTAAACAAACATCTCGAGAGACACAAAAACACAAACGCGTAACCCACTACTGCAGAACTGGACGCCACTAACCAACCGATGTCTGCTCTATAAAGGTGAGCAAACTGAAAAATACCAAAAAAAAAATGCTCAAATTAAAGCAGTTTGTTGAGAAACTCATTTAACTTTCACCAACTGACAAACCAAACCAGATGTTTAGTCATAGATGATAAAGAAAATGAGAAACCTACGAAGCTCGAGTCACCACAAAACAGAGAATCAACGATACAAAACAAACCTCTTTGTTTAAAAAATGTCAAAGAAACCATCATGTTTATGCCTCAGAAATCAGCTTCACCTGCTGACAAACCAAAGTACTCAGTTTTCTGACGTGAACAGCTACACAAAATGAAAAGTCTCAGATTTAAGATGTTTAAACTTCTTCAGTAATCAAAATAAAATGTTTCTCTGAACAGTTTGCTGAGACTTAGCTTCACAGGCTGAAAATCTCAAAACTCTTACTGGCTCAAATAACCAGAAAAAGAAAAAGAAGATAAAGATGAATCTTCAAAATTGTAAGTTTTGATATTAACAAATTAAAAAGTTCTCAATAAGAACCACTTCATTTTCCTCAGTGCTTTAAAATGCCTGGAATGGTCACCCAGTGAACTAAATACCTTCAGATTATTAACAAACTGTTTCAATGTGAAGAATGACTCATCAGCTGAGTGAAAGTTAAACAGAGAAACTGTCAAATACAGAAAGAAGCTCACCGAAGTTCATCCTCAGAAGCAGCTGCAGTCTTAAATGGATGTCAGTGAAAGAGGAAAAAACTAACAAACAAGCAAACCACCAACAACACCTACACAACCTTACCGAGCAAACATGCAAACATTGTTGATCCTCGCCGACTGCCACAGGAAGCTTTTCACTGAATGAACAGACACATACACAGAGGCAGGCGATGCGCCTAGCAGTCAGGGCTCAGGGACTTTTTGCTCCAATTTCTGATCTTGTCATTCCCTGATCTCTCATTGGCTTAGAGGAAGAGAGAGCTCAACCTGCTACCTGATTGGCCGTTGTCCCAGTAATGCCATTATCCCGCTGTCCTTCCTGTCGAGATCAGGTGCTATTTCTGTCCCCCCACCCCCACCACACACACACACACACACACACACACACGTTAATAACAGCTAATATCCTCCGGTCAGGTGGGAAGGGAATCCAATTTGGTTCAATGAGAAAAATCGGAAAGAGGGGGAGGCTAAAGTAGTGCAGATAAATAATAAAAACATAAAAATATTTAAGAGTTGGAGTAAAGTAAAATTACACACTTTGCAGAATCATATACTGTACATCTTATTAGTGGATCTGATGTGATACATAAAGAATCAATTATTATTAATTATATAAAATAATCATGATGTGAATCAATAAAGAGAATGATTGGTTGCTGCCCTATAAATAAGTAGGTTACCATTTCATTAAACAAATGGTTTATCATTAAGTGGCAACCTCAATGCACGTAGAATTACGAAATTATCGAAAAACTGCAGTTCCCCCAATGTCCACCAGAGGCTTGAGCAGTGAAATATATGGAAGCCTGTTTCCGCCACTTAAAAAAAAAAAAAAAAAAAAAAACATATAAATACACACACACACACACACACACACACACACACACACACTGAAATTTTGAGTTATCCTTCTTGAAATTTCGATTGATTAACTCACAATTTTGTTTTATTAACTCGAAATTTTGAGAACAATAAACTCAAAAGTTCGAGTTAGCTCTGCCAATCAGTAACCTACATGGAATGTCCACTCAAAACCGGTTCACAACAAATTGGCGCTTTCGAGAGTACGTTTGCTGCTATGTGATTCAGCTACACAAGGATTTCATCATTTATGAAGCCACGCTGAAAATAATCAGCAACTTGTGCATTCATGACTGGCTGTAATACTGGTAGCTTAGCTGTAGCATTTGTTTTCTTACCGTATTGGTCCATTTGATTGACCTTTGTTGTTATTATTTATTTTATTTTATTTACAGATGGGACAGACATGACTGGGGGATAGGAAAGGGAGAAAGAAAGATGAAGGAAAAGAAAAACAGAGGGGAAGAGGGACAGTGAGAAAGGGCACTTAAAAAGAGAAAGCAAGAGAAAAAAAAAGAAACAAAATCTCCTGGATCACTTGTTGAGAGAAAAAGACGAGAAAACTAGCAAAAAAAAAGAGAGCAACATAATAAACACAACATCATCGCATTAATCTAGCTAAGTGTAAACAGCAGTAAATACTAAATATTGAATGCTGTGGTGCAGCACGCAGGACTGACAGCGCACAATGTGCTTTGAGGTAGCAGCCAAGAAAGGTGTAGTTTATGTCTATGGACAGTGAACACCCGTGCGCAAACCTGTGTGGATCAGCGCGCTTGTATTCAAAAGGTTTCCCCATGTAAAGGTCTGCTAGAGGGTGTAGGGAGCCATAGCCCCGTCCCCCAGGGCATGAAGCAGGCATGGAGGAGATTCAGGCCCCAGACATCCAGAGGCCCCAGAGTGCGAGAGCCCAAGGAGGACCACCGGAGGGGCATCTGTGCCACCCTCCTGGGAAGAGCTGAGGAGAGCCCCAGACGAGGGGTCACCCAGCAGCCACGGAGCAGAAGCTAGAGGGGACTGCACTGGCGTGCCCGTCGGCTCTGCCGGCAGCCAGCTGTGCCAGAGTGAACCGAGCTGCAGGCCCAGAGGCCGGAGGCCCGAGGGCCCCCTACGCCCCGGAAGAGGCCTGACCGAGCAACAGGCACCAGGCCCTGCCAAGTAGCTACCGGGAGTGAGCTGATACATACCTGAGTGGATGTAGCTGCTAGCTGTATGCTAGGCTTCAGCTCAGCTAACTGGAATCCCTGTACTAGACCTGTGGATTGCATTTGTACTGTTGGAGCCCTTTTATTTGCGATTATCTGATCAATAATATGGCTGCTGGGCAGCAAATCGTAGTA